CCCATGCTGGTGTAACTCAAGTGATTCTCCTGTTTCAGCCTCCCCAGTCCCTGGGGCTGTGAGTCTGCACCACCGTACCAGGCTTAGGGAGTCAGTTAGGCCTCACTGTTTCTTTGAATAGGGTCTCTCCACTGTCTGGGATTTCCTGAACCTAAAAGTGATCTCAGTGGATAAAGACATTTGCCTGGCAAGCCTCCTGACCCGCAGTTTGATACTTGGAGCTTATATAGAGATATAAAAAGATTACTACCTCCACAGAATTGGCCTCTGACCTCCACACATGCTGCGGCATCTGCCACCCCTGTCATGTTTACTTGTGAGCTCTTGCAGGAAGTGGACCTGTGTGTGCGTTCTTGTGAGCACAGACACACACACGCGCACACACACACACACACACACACACACACACACACACACATCGATAATAAATTTTTAAGGTGATTTTCTTTTCTAGTTTGCACCAGAATTTGAAAAGAAAGTGGAATCCAGAGGTTAGAAAAAGGATTTTACTGTTGTGGTTTATAATGCCTTGGTCTTGCTGAGCCTGCTGCTGACATAGAGTTGTCTCTCAGAGGCTCCTCTTCACTGCCGTGTAACACGCCCGATTGCAGTGACTCTGGATAGATAAGTGCCTTTTGCTGCTGCATGTTGATTGACTTTAGACCTCGATGGGGCAGGGTGGGAGGGGACAGAACAAAGCTTGCTGCTTATGAGAGTAAAGGTTTGTGTCATTAATGGATAACCAAATCTGTTCTCAGGTCATGAGGGCCTGTTTTAATCACCCAGCCCTCCTGCTGCTTTATGCTTCTGACCACACTTGATGTTTGTCCTTTTCTAAAGTTAGACCCTAGATTTAGAACAAAATAACTGTATTTACTTATTTGTATTTTGCCTGCTGGGGATGGAATTCTCGGGGTCTTGCTCATGTAGGCAGGTGTTCTACCATCAAGCTTTGTTCCCAGCCCTTTCAGGATCTTTACACCTAAAGCTATGCTGGTAACCCTGGAAAATCTCAGATTTGGTCATTTGTCTTGGAAAAGAGAAAAAGAAGGGAGGGCTGGGGAGATGAGTACTGAGAACTGAACCCAGGTCTCTGGTGGGGCAGCCAGAGCTCTTAACACTGAGCCATCTCTCCAGTCCCCTTTACTCTCTCTCTCTCTCTCTTTCTCTCTGTCTGTCTGTCTTTCTTTCTGTGTGTGCACGTGCGTGCGTGCGTGCGTGCGTGCGTGTGTGCGTGCGTGCGTGCGTGCGTGCGTGCGTGTGTGTGTGTTGTGTGTCTGTCTCTCTTGCCCATGGAGACCTGAATAGGAAGGACATCAGATTCCCCTGGAGCTGGAGTTACAAGTGATATATGAACCATCTGACCTGGGTTATGGGTTCTGGGAGCCAAACTTGGGTCCTCTGGAAGAGCAAGAAGGACTCCTAACGGCCAAACCATCCCTCCAGTTTCCAACCAGTCCCTTAAAACATACTTTGTTTTCGGGTTGTCCAGGGTCTAGCCCAGGCCCACAGGCATGCTAGGCACTGCTGAACCTCTGAGCCACACAGCCACAGTTTGGTGTTTTAGCCGTCGTACCCTTTAGGTTACTGCTACTCTGTAAAACACAGATATCGATGCAGGCATCCCACAGACCTGGACAGGAACTTAGTCCAGTGGAATGCAGCTGTTACCTTACAGCTACAGCCAACCTTGCAGATGTCTACAAGTCCTTCTATTTCCCATCCTCTGTGAACGCGGTTCTTTGACTCTTGAATGGTTTTTATTTATTTGTTTACTTATTTTTATGGAGACATGGTATCATGTAGCCCAGCCTTACCCAGCATACAGTGTAGAGAGGATGACCTTAAACAACTTCTTCTTTTTCATTAATTTATTTTATGTTCATTGGTGTTTTGCCTACATGTATGTCTGTGTGAGGGTGTGAGGGTGTCAGATCTTGGAGTTACAGACAGTTGTGAGATGCCATGTGGATGCTGAGAATTGAACCTGGGTCCTCTGGAAGATCAGTCAGTGCTCTTAACCATTGAGTTCTCTCTCCAGCCCAGAGTTTTCCATCTTTTTAAATGAACAAATGTTAAATATTTAACTCATTACCCAATAGGAAAAAAAGCCACACAGTACCGTGTTAAAGCTGCTCACAGGCTGGAGATGTAGCTCGGTTGGCAGAGTACTTGCCTCACTTTCGAGAAGCCCTGGGTTACAAGGTGTGATGACACACACATAACCCCAGCACTCAAGAAGTAGAACAGAAGACGGGGTCTTCAAGGTTGGCGGCTGGAGAAATGGCTCAGCGGTTAAGAGCACTGAGTGCTCCTCCAGAGGACCCAGGTTCAATTCCCAGCACCCACATGGCATCTCACAACTGTCTGTAACTCCAAGATCGGACACCCTCATACAGACATATATGTAGACGAAACACCAATGTATATAAAATTTTTAATTTTTTTAAAAAGATGGAAAACTCATTATGTTTTTCTGGTCATTTCTTGGGCATTCATCAGCCCTAAATAGATCTTATCTTGGTGGCATTCTGTGTTCTGCTTTGCCCCTGGCACCTTGGACACTTGGTGAGTGACTGAGTGAGTGTTTACAGTAGGATGTGACTTTCTCTGTAGTGTTACCACATTTCTGTTTGTTAGTTGTGTAGATAAACTTCAGCGGGACGGACACACACACACACACACACACACACACACACAGCGTTGTACGTAACTGCACTTACGTGCCTTGCTGTCTTCCCTCCTTGTGTGGCGTGTGTCTACACTCTGCGCATGTAGAAGAGGGCTGAAGTTCAGGGTGTTCAGCTACTTCAGGACATTTGGCTTCCATGGTACAAGAGAAACTCTTGGGGCACCAGGAAAGCAGGAAAGTGAGGTGGTGTCTGAGTAGACGCATGTTTGTTCATCTTTCTCATGACACATCTGGCCCAGAAACAGCTCTCCTGCCCAGAACTCCACCTGGTGGCTTCTGGAGGAAGTGGCCTCTGCTGTTCAGTGACTGACAGCCATACCACCGTGAGGCGCTTGTAGAGTGTTTTCACACCTGTGTCTAATAACACTTCTGAGTGCAATGGGAAATGCCAAACAAGGTGGGTTTTTTTAAAATAAATTTGTTATTTATTAGTGTGTGTGTATGGTGGAGGCAGGGCACTTGGGTGTAGAGGTCAGAGGAACCTGGAATCGGCTCTGCTCTGACCTGTCACACCCTTCCAGGCTGAAACTCAGGTCAGCTGCCCTGCTGGCAAGCACATCTGGCCTGCCCCTGGTTTTAGCTGATTGAGGAACCTCCATACCACTTTCCATAGTAGCCATACTAATTTGCATTCTCAGTAGTAGTGTATATACAGTGGATGGACATATTTTTCTTTTATTAATCCTGCACCAGAACCTTTATTAACATTGTAAACAGAGATTCAGCTATTGCTGAAACTTTTTTTTTTTTTTTGTGTGTGTGTGTGTGTGTGTGTGTGTGTGTGTGTGTGCTTTTTTGAAACAGGGTTTCTCTGTATAGCTCTGGCTGGCTGTCCAGGAACTTGCTTTGTACACCAGGTAGGCCTTGAACTTAGGGATCCACCTATCTCTGCCTCCCAGATGTTTGAATTAAAGGCATACATTGGCACACCTGCCTATTACTGAAACTCGTAATTTCTAAACTTAAATGGGGGCAGATGGCTTTAGTGTGCAGCAATGCCATCAGTGCCCACTGGAAATCCAGGCTGAAGAAGTGCCAGCCACCCCTCAGTTGGAAGACCAGGTGCAGTCTTGACTCTTTCTGGATCAGAAAGAGTGGTCAGGTGCTTGCCTGCAGAGATGGGCCTCTGCTGTCATTGGGAGGTGCTTCCTTATCCTGGACCTTTGACCTTCACATTCTCTGTGGTATCAGTGGGCTCCATCTCTAGGGTGACAGTCTTGCTGATCAGAATCTTCACAGAGATTTGCATCTTAACCTGATAATAAAGGTGCAAACTGCAAAACACATCAAAACACCTAGTCATAAGAACCTCCACCCTGAACAAAGCCGCTGGTCTGGATATGCTCCTTTTTTTTCCTTTCCTTCCTTCTCTTCCTTCCTTCCTTCCTTCCTTCCTTCCTTCCTTCCTTCCTTCCTTCCTTCCTTCCTTCCTTCCTTCCTTTATTTCTTTATTTCTTTTTCAAGACAGGGTTTCTCTGTGTAGCCTTAGCTGTCCTGGGACTCACTCTGTAGACCAAGCTGGCCTCAAACTCAGGTCTGCCTGCCTCTGCCTCGCGAGTGCTGGGACTAAAGGTGTGCGCCATCACCCATCACTGCCTGGCTGGACATACT